AAATTTTTTTAAATAAGCTCTAAAAATAAGCATCTGTTTTTTTTTTTTTTTTTAATCAATAGTTAATATGCCCCTCATTTGGCAGTGTTCCTTGTCCATTTGTATATTGATGCAGATGGCATCATCACAGCATCACAGCCAAAATCAAACACATTTAACAAGTCATTTGGCCCTCACTTGAGTCGTCGATGGGATGCACCCTTCCATCGATGGCAAACGGAGCTTGAGCTTCAATTGCAGCTGGCGAGAGCAAACACTTTGGCAATTTGACTTTTGGTCAGCACTGTCAACAGCAGCAAACACAAACACACAGACGATGAACAGAGACAGAGCAATGAGTAGACAGAAAGAGAGAGGGAGAGGCAGATTGAGGCAATCAAAGCTGGACAGCGTGGGTGTACAGATTGTTAGAGAGTGCATGCAGCTGGATGCTCCAGTGTTGGTACATTCATTAATTTTGCCACAAATTTTTGCAATTAAAGTTTGCTGTTTGTTTATCTGTTTTGCCACCAGCAGCGACGCCAGTGAGTGGGAAAGTCTCATGAAAATCAAGCGCACTGAACACGAAGTCAATAAAACTTTTGTGCTACTTAATGCGAATTTATAGTGTAAACATGCACACACACACCAACACATAGAGAGAGCTGGAGAGAGCGAGAGAGAGAGAGAGAGAGAGAATCACACACCCACACACATGCACACACACACATAGCCAACGGTACTGGCTGGCATTCTGACTGTGTTGACAAAAACGACAAAATTGCGTTACCAGCAATTGCATAACAATCATTTCAAGTTTTCCGCAAATTGTAAAATAAAAAAAACAAAAAAAAAATAAAATAGAAGCGAACGCAGAGAAAAGTTTTTATTGTTATTATGAAAAGTACAACAAAAACAAGCGAGCAAGCGACATCGGCGGCAGCAGGGCTTACTTGCTTTCTGGTCTGTGGTCTCTCCGTATAAAACAAAATGGCCGCACATCCTTTTGCCAGCGCTCATTTTGGCACCCCGGACTCGACAGCCACCGACATTCGCATAACTATGCAAAATTGTTGTCCTTGTCCCCGCTGGCATTGTTTTGCTTAGCTGCTGATTTTGCTTTGTTTGTGCATATGACTTTGCTTGGAGGTCGCCGGACGGAGGGCAGGACAGGATTTGCTGCTACTGTTGCTGTTGTTGTTGCTGCTGTTGCTGTTGTTGTTGCTGTTGGCTGTGGTGGCAACTGTACGTCAATTGCGGTCCGTTTTGTGGCTTCCGTTTGTTACTTGCAATTCCTTTTTGGCAATGCCGCCAAGCTGTGTGTATATGTGTGTGTGGGAGTCCATCTCCCACAAACCTCTCGCTCTCTCTATCTCTCCTTCCTTTCTTCATTTGGCTGGCACTGCGGATGTCTGCCATCAGCTGACAGCGAACTTTTACTGGCTGCTTGCAACTTTTACAACTTGGCCCCGGCTTAGTCTTTGTTGCAGCTGATGATTTTTTAATTGCAACTACTTTAAGCTATTGCTCTCGGACGTAGCCATTGTGCGCATCATTAACACACAGCGCAGCACAGCTAGACAGCATCATGGGATGACAATGTGTTTACACTGCTTAACAAAAGTTAAGATATAGAGATATTTGCATTATTTGTGTTTCTAATTTGTTTGGCTCATTTAACCAACTCTATTCCAGCTTAGCTTACCTCGTCTGCATCAAGCTCCTTTGGCCGTTGGCCATCTCTGACGCTCTGCTGCGCTTCAAGTCTAATCTGAAATGCGTATTTTCAGCGCAATTATCTGGCTCGGGATCTATAATCGGCGTTTGGCTAGCGTGGAGCCAGCTGTCATGGCCAATTGACGGCCAAAGGAGCAAGGTATGCGCATTAACCAACGCCCAGCAAGCGTAGGGGCAATCTGGTCATGGCGGTCAGCTCATTGGCATTATTATGAGCAGCTGGCGCTGGCATTGGCTGTGCGAATTATGCATGCGCCTTGAGACAGCGCCTGGGCGGGCTGAGCTGATTGGCAAATTGAGCGGCTATTTGATGTTGACGGCTGCTGCCACAGCTAATGCGGCTGCTCATGCCACAGTCGCACAGTCGCACAGTCGCACAGTCGGAGTCGAGGCGAGGCCAGCAGTCAAAGCTATTTAGCCTAATTGAATTACTAATTTCATAAGCAGTGCTGCCCATTTATGTTTATTAACGTGCAGCTCAGGTTGAGAATTTAATGCAATTCAAGTAAATATTGATGCCCAGAAATTTAATGTACAGGAATAAATATTTCAAATTTCAGGACTAGAAGTTATACGATATTATAAGATTCTTCTTGCAGCAAAATTGGTTACTTTGCGATTCTCTTACCAAATCCCCTACTTGCTCTTAAGTTACTTTTATGTAAGGCAAGTGCAGGATAAATGCAAGTCAGGTGTGTGTGTGTGTGTGTGTGTGTGAATGGAACTGCAATGCAAAACTTTAAGTAGGTAAGGAAGCGTAAAATAACAAAGACAACAAAACAAAAGCTGCTAAGCAAAAGTAAAATTTTTTTACAAAGTTCAAGAAAGAAGGGAGCCAAAAAAATTCACTGAAGCAAAGAACAGCCGCAAAATGCTTGTAGAAATTCAAACAAACTGTGAGAAATAGAATGCACACATGCGTAAAGAGTAGCTATAACAAAAAAGAAAGAGAAAAGTAGATAAAAAAAGTTAAATACTCTTACTCTTACTTACTAATTAAAATTATAAAAATAAAAATGT